CAGGCTGAAGAAATGAGCCGACAGGAATCTTACAAAGTTCAGCAAAAGCATGTGCAAAGTCTTGCCAATGGGGTGGAATGACCTTGACTAAAATGACGGGCTGGGATTCATTTCATCAAATGCCTGGGAGGCAGAGGGACAGAAAGGGATCTGAGGGGCCTAGTGAACAACAGTTTGCATGAGAACCGGCAGTGTGCCCTTACAGCAAGGAAAGTCACCTGTTTCCCTCACTGCAGGAGCAAAAGCTTAGCCAGCAGGCCAGGGGAAGGTCCTGGCCTTCTACTTGGTATTTATAAGACTGACTGTGGAGCACTATGTCCTGTTTTGAGCTCCCCAGAACAAGAAGAATGTCAACTTATGGAGACCAATGAGCTGGCCAGGGGACTGTAGCAAATGGCATTCAACAGAAGGCTGAGGGGACTGAATCAGCTCAGGGTCAGAAGAGATGGCAAGAGATCACCTTCGTGCTGTCAACAAGTACCTGAGTGAAGGGTATAGAGGAGATAGAGCTAGCTTTTTCTTGGAGGCATGTTAAGAGGCAGTAGACACATGATACATAAGAGTACATATGATATATAAGAGTATATGATAAGAGGCGGTAGACACAGGGTATAATATGGAAAAGTCTGGCTAAATGTTAGAAAAAATAATTTTACTGTGGTGGTGATGAGGTAAAAGAACTGGTTTCCAGAAAAGGTTGTGGACATGTTCAAGACCCAAGCTGACACACCCCTGAGCAAAATGATCTAATTATACTTGCTTTGAGCTGAAGGCTGGACTAGGCACTTTCTCCTGACCTAATTATTCTAATATTCTGTAATCTCATACTTTATGTAAAAGTTGGAATTTCTCTTTGCAATAATAGTAGTAGTAGTAGTAGTAGTAGTAGTAGTAGTAGTAGTGATAATAATAATAATAATAATAATAATAATAATAATAATAATAATAACATCAGTACCAACAATAATAATAATATTAGGTATTAACCTGAGGTGTGTATTAAGTAGACCCACACCGGGAAAATTCTTATTTATAATAATGTTTTCTTTCTGGAAAAATGACTAATTTACTGAGATCATCATTCAACAAATTGAGCACCAAAACACAATTAAGATATAAGTTTATATAGCTTTGTTCAGACTAGAAATTCAGAAAGATCTATTTAGCTGCTTTAAAGGACATGCATTTCGCTTGGGCACATGAATTTCACTGTAAGAAGCAAGGACTTTTAGATGTTGCACTATTATATAGTATTATGCCTAATTCTTGTTGAATAACTGCTCTAATAATGTCAGGTTTAAGCCCTACTAGTAGGATTTGGTCTTAGTTTTTTTTTTATCTTGTGTTTGTTAGCCTTTGCATACTTTTGCTAACATTTTATTTCTGTAAAATTACCAGGTATTCTCTGAAGTTTCCCTGGAAGATATTTACTATGTGTACTTATTGTTCAGGATATTGAAATCAAGGTTCTGAGTTTCTTGATTTAAAAATACCTCTTTTTCTTCTCATCCAGGTCAATATAAGCAGCCTGTGCAGAACACTCTGTTCATAAATGTGAAACAAGCCCACACCATCATGTTTGGCACTAAGAGGTCAGTTTCCACCATTTTTGTTATGCTTTTCATCTCAAAAAACTGAAATAGCATGGCTGTTGTGACTAATCTGAAATTTTTAAATTTTCTAAAAATATTGTTATACAAAACATCAGATAGATATGTTACTTTTTCTATTATAATGATTAGGTTTTCTTTGCTGTAAAGCTCTGATCTACTTTGTCAGGTACGTGGCATGCAGGCCAGGTAGCCTAAATGGCAAATAGCACCCCCAAGGCAAGAATGCCAAATGTATAATGTGTAAGAATGACGCTGTACTAGTGCTGGAGGACATCCCTCCTGCTTTCTAGTAGGGCAAATAACACCAGGATAACAAAGAACAAGTGTAAGATAGGCTCTTTTCTGTCATTTTATGGAGTCTGTACTGATATAAGGTAGCATCCCTCTGTTACTCTCTGTGATCCAAGGTCGTACCCCAAATGTCTCCAAAAATCAACAGTTTTGAGTCCATGGAATGTGCTTCCTGCATCTTTGATAAGCATCAGGTAATCTGTATTTGTCATCAGACAGTGTCTCTGCTTCCTCCCCAGCTCCTGCAGCCACAGGAGCCCTCATGGCACCCTGAGGCACCCTGTCAGGTTATCAGCTACTGCACCTGTGGGTCTTCTGCAGGGGAGTGAGATTTCCCTGCATAACAAAGATACTATAAACCATTCCCTCTTGTGAACTCCCTGATTTTTGTGCTTGCTGGCAGGCTTTTGGGCTTTTAGTAGAAGCCAGTCAAAGCCTTCAGCACTTCTGCCCCAGCCTAGTGAAACGTTTGCCCTGTGCAGCAGCAGAGCTCCTTTAATGTGGTACCTGGAGAAACACCTCACTCTTCTGAATTGTTGTGAAGAGAGGAGGCTGCCTTCCCATTAGGAGGCACCTATGAAGAAGCATCTTGCATGTCTGCAGGAGTCAGAGGTGGCAAATGATAAGAAAAATCAGCTTGGTTTTCTGAAGTTCCGGCCTGAGTTGTACAAGGCTCCAGTGTGAGCTGCAGCCTTGTTGGAGTCAGGCTGCTGCCAGGGGTTCCCTGATATCCTGTGCTCCCGCTCGCATGGCCAAGAATTCAGCAGGGGATTTTGTGTCCAGCTGAAGTGGGATTGGCAGCCGACTCCAGACTGCTACCTTGTATACAAAATGCATATGCAATACATTTTTAGGGTATCTTTCCAGTAAAAGGAGACTTTGTATTTTTAGATAAGGGCAGAATCTGTTTTGTTGGTGTGATGTGTTTTATATAACTGCTGAAGAGGGTACAGTAACAATTACAAACTTCCCATTTGAGGATTTCTGCTTTTAATTAGTTGTCGCTGCAGAATATTAATACTCAAGTAAATCTTGACATTCTACCAAATGAAATAATTTATTATATTACATTATATTTAAGCAGGTTAGTTGTTTTTGCCAATGTGTTGTTTAACTCCTTATGAACTCTCTATTGCCTGACCTAAACAATTTTTCCCTCCTAGGATCACCTCTTTACCTTTTCTTAGTGTTATATAGCAATGGCAAAATTAAAAATTGTGTTTGATTGGTAGGCACGAAATTTTATTATTTTTTAAATCTTTTTCCTCACAAATTTAATCTTGAATTTAATGAAAATGCAAATTCCTCATACAGAATATTACAGACAATGTGAAATTCTCTTCCATATCTACAGACAAGGTTTTATGAAAAAAGGTGCATTTGGGGAACAGAAACTCTTTGTTTCTCTGCTGTACTATGTTCTGCTGTGTCGCACTTTATGCAGACTGTTCTGAGTCACTTGCAATAAAAAAAGGGAGGGAAAGATTCACAGTAGCCCTCTATGCATAAATTGGGACATTACCTCAAGTGTTCTTGAGATTGGTACCATGTTTTAGCTTGGCAGAGATTGAGTACTTGTCAGATGTTTTGTTCTAATTATTGTAGTAGGTTTTGAATGTAATTTTCATAGAGAACTATTAATTGTGACCAAGAAAATCTTGAGGTTCTATTGATTATTTTTAAAGGCTGAAAACTCCTATAAATAAACTGCCTTTGTTGAGAGTTTTTGAAATCTTGGTTTGATACATTGGATCGTTTCTTAAAAAGAAATACTGAATTAATTTGGAAATATAATGAAGAACGAAAGTATTTTTTCTGGAGGAAAGGATATCTTAAGGTTTATTTTTCTTGAAAAAAATGTTTTTAATTGGTTCTAATACATTATTAATTATAATCTCCATGAAATTGCATAACTTTGACTCAAAAATGGAGTTATCTCCTGTCACCAGATCTTTGGAAGTTATCAGGTGTATATAGTATCTCAACTGCTTTTTCATTGATAACTTTCTCTTAATTTTACATATAAAGTTAATCTTTAGTGAATAATCCCTGTTGGATGGGCTGGTAAAAGTGACTGTCTAGACACAACAGCTTTGACAAACTTTGTATGTGAGGCAGGTATTTCTCAGCTGCTTTATAAGGCTCTGTTGTTAATGTGAACTGACACAGCTAACAAAGAGGTGAATTCCTCTTCATTTCAGTTTAATTTCAGAGTTGATCCTATGATTTTAAGTGCTGAATGGTTGTGGTTTCTCTGTATTGTTCTTGTGTTCTCCTCTCATCTGTTTCTCTATCATGCAAATTTTTTCTGCAATTAATTTAATCTGCAATGAACACCAGCAATGAAATAGCAGAGGTCAGTACATATACCAATGAGTTCCTGTGTGCTGTGTTATTCATGTTGTATACTCATCTCCATCTTTCAAGAGCAATCGCTGATACCATTCTCCTCATGTTGAACACAGAAGTATTTAAATAACTTTAGGGAAGGGATTTTTACATTTTGGGAACCTTCTTTATGTGTGGAAGATACTCTGCAAAGAAAGGCTCCCAATCAATGCATCTCCAGGATCTGCAAGGCCACTCTGACCGTCTACCTAACACTATTATTGTGATGTTCAGGGGTATTCTTACCTGCAGTTATTTCTGTTCTGCAGTTTGGAAACCCCACGTTGTATAGCTCATTTAAACTGTCCATGCAACTGGAGAATATTTCTCCTGTTTGGCACACTCAGTTTTCTTTTCCTTCTCTTGCCTAAATTGGAGTGCTTCAAAAGATAGCCTGAGTGGCAAATCCATCCCTCAGAGCCAAGCCATTTGGTTGCTAAATGAATTTAGCAGCTTGAAGGAAGCAATTGTGAGGAGCACGAGGACATTTGCTTAAGTGTATGTGTGTGATATTGCTCCGTTCCTGGAGCTGCACCCATTTGTCCCCTTGCTGAAGAGCCTTGCACATGGTATATGTTTTAGAAAGAAAAAAGAAAAAGAAAAACAAAACAAAACAAAAAGAAAACAAAAAAAAAAAAAAAAGAGAAAATTACTCTCATTTCTATGGACCCTGATTGCCCTGATATGAACTCAGCATTTCAACTGTACTCTTTTTCGTGGAGAGCATTTTATTTATAGGGTGTGATTCCAGCCTGAGGCACTGTGGCCAATGCAGCTGGTAGCCTCTGCTGGGTGTTGATGGTTGGTTTGTTGCTTTGTGATGGTTGGCCAGGTCTGTCTTGGCCAGTGGTCCAAGAGTTTCATAACACAGCATTTGTTTCTGGAGGCAAATAGTTTTCTTTCCAAACTGCAATCCAATCAGCCATCCTGGAAAGCTGTAGTCAATTTTCCTAGGCCAGGTCTGTCAGCAGCAATTTGAGTCCTGAGATAAATAGAAAACAAACCTCTCTTCCAGTGTCTAATCATATTGCCATGTTTATAAACTTAGATAATAGTTAAGATGGACAAATAGTATGATTGGTATAGGAGGATGATGAGATTTGAAAAGACATCAGCTTTTTAGTCACTGATAATTACTGACTTTCTCATATCTGGTTTTGATTAGAAAGTTAAGGAAATAATGTTTATTTATATTATAAACTCCTGATATGAACATACTGTAGTGTTTTCAAGATTATATTTAAGATAATATAAGCCTAATTTCTTCTTTTCTTATTGTTGCAGGGAGAGCATGTTTACACAGGGTTTCTAAATGTCATGGTTTTAATTGCATTAGACCTGGACTATTGCTGTTTGTTCTGATACCCCTGCCAGCTTCTAAAGCATGGCCAATGGATGCCCACAAGGCCCTGTTCATTACTGAACACTAGGACCATATGCCAAAGTTTTTTCTTTGGGATTTGTAAGTGTACAAAAATAATTATCTGATTTGACCCTAATTCTGGTGGTCACAATCCCCTTTCTTTTGCTTTTTAATTGGGAAGAGCACTCCTTGAATGAAGCTATAACATACTTTTTGTCTTCTTCTCTGCTACATAATTAATTTTTTTTTATTGCTGAACTTTGTTATGGTAATGAATTGCAAAATAATATCTATTGATATGGTCTCTTTTTAAGTTCACTACGGACTCTAAAATATGAACTTTTAATTTCTTGCAGTTTCATTGTTTAGGGATCTGGAGGCTGACTAATGTACAATGATAAGGCAGCTGTGACACTCAGATTTTATTCAACCAGAACAGATGCAGTCTGGAACACAGATGTAACAGACACAGACAGGGATAAAGAGTGGGGAACAGAGCAGAACTTGACACTCCGTAAGCAGTAGCCAAAACACTGATGTGTTTCCAACAGGTTTTAAATTACAAATTCAAAACACTCGACCATATGGTCTGCTGTGAAAAAAATTAACTGCATCCCAGTCCAACCCAGTACAATGTAAAAACCCCAATCAGTGTTCATATGCTGAAGCTTAAGCTCCAATAGAAGTATTGTATATCTAATAAAAGACAGAAAATACATATTTTTAGTTTAACGATCCAGCCAATAAAAAATTGACTTCCTACACATACAAAGAAAGTCACAAAATTTTTACACAATGATGAACAGCTTTAAATATTTGCTTTAAGCAACTGCATCTCTAATTAGAAATATATATATATAAATAAATATATAAAAATTAAAATATTTTATATCTATTTTATATACTGAATATATGTTTTAAGAAATGAAAATATAAAATAAATTTAAGTCTGTTTAAACTTTTCTAAACTGTTAATATGTTCTCAATTTTATTTTTACACTATCCTACTTCACAATAAGGCTCTACTCTGCCTTTTGCAGTGCCTTTTAAAGGCGTTTACCTGAGCTAACCAGATAACTTGGCATATATATTTTGTTAAAGTCATCTCTATTTCTACACCAACTTCATGCTGTAGGTCTAATACTCATAATTATTTAATTATCCTAATTGTGTTTATTTGCTGTATCTTGGAGTTTCTGTAGAAGTGTCTGATCATTGCCTGCAGTTTATTTAATTATAGGATTACACTTGCACTTCAGCTATAACCTTTAATACCACAAGTTCCTTCTTCAAAAGGAAGAAGATTTCAAAGGCTAGCACTTAAAAATACAAAAAGGACCTAACATCTTAGTGACAGGATTGTTTTTTGGTTTTTGTTTTTTTTTTTCCCCAGTGGAATGAAAAGTGTATATTTGTTTCTCAGTTTATCACAAACAATAAATGTGTGAACAAAACTGCAGACACCTTTCTTGTTGTGGTTCCAGATCCCTTGTGCTTTAGAAGATTCAGAAGGCAGAGAATTCCTGAGCAAGACCTTAAGATATACTGAGTGTGTAGCTTGGCTTTTTACTTTACAGGGATGTGTTCACTGTTCAAGTTCCTGCAGAAGGGCAAACTGCTGCATTTCCATAATAACTGGAATTCTTTTGCTTCTATTCTAGAAATCAGGATTTTACATAAATTTTCTAATAATGGTCTTTAGCAAGAGTATGCAGGATGAGGAAAATTATTTTTTTGTCTTTTTAAAAAGAGCATTTGGAGGAAAAATATGCCGAGATATAAACTGAAGGTCAGTCTTGCTGAATGATGAAGTCAGGACTCATGCCCCAATTCAGTCATTTCTTCAGGCACAGGAAAACATGAAGAAATGTCCCAGGCAAGGATGAACTTTTCCTCATGCTCAGATTTCATGCTGAGCTTGGGCCTCAGTGCCCTGCAGATATCTCCTGTTAATGGTATATATCTAGTCTTAGCAGAGCTGCTCCTGCTGGATTCTGGCTGCAAAAATAGTTTAGTAACATTTCTCTGATTTTTAGGAAATGAAGTCTGTAGATTAGAGAATTAATATTGCTGCTACATGTGAATCTTACTCTCAATTTGAAACCACTTTTTTTAATTCCAGCTTCAATGTGAAAAGCACACATGTAACAATTAACACCTAACAGAGCTAAGTGGCATCATCCAACCTCTGCTGCATTTTCATATGGAAGAATGGCTACACTGGTGGTCATGAATAAATTTTCTCTCAGGGTTAGTTGCCAGATACATCTCTGAAGCAGAACTGGAGCCATATAATGAAAGCAGTTGCTGTGTCTTACAGACTTTTTCAGATGCTTCTGGCAATTGCATATATTTTCAGATATCTCCCCTTTTTTTGGATGTTTTTTTAAATCCCTGCCCACAAGGACAAAACTGTATCAGACTGAAAGGCTTTTCTCCCTGTTCTTTATTTCTTAACAAAAATCCCAATATCCTGATAAAAACCAGATATCATTTCACAATGTGATATGTCTACATCCTGCTGGTATGTGTATAAAATCTCCAGGTTAAATTTTCATCATGGTGAATAATAGATATCTGCACAAGTCCCATGCTTTGTTAATAGGATTTTTTATGCTGTTCCCTGATACTTTTTAAGCACTCATACTGGTGATGTATTTTATTATGGTGTTACAGAAGACACTTTGGTAAAGTGTATTCTGATTCTGTATTCAGCAACATGAATCAGTCCCAGGGAACGGGACCAACTCACTGTCTGTGCCCGTGCTGTATTGCTGCAGATAGTGGTCATGGGCTGTTGCCTCCTTATTTATGTGGCCATAAATTGCCTGTTTTGCTGACACTTTAAAGTAAATGAAGGAAAGCAACAGCACTGCTGGCTTTCTGGCAGGAAGCCTAAGAGCAACTTGGTATTCCTTGTGTGCCTAACTAATGCCACTTCAATGGGAAGTTTTAATTTAGTGCATGTCTGTGTGTGCAGAGAAGAAATCAGAGTCATTTGGTAATAAGAAAGTGTATCTGCTCCAGAGTCACTGAGAAGCAATTTGGTGGAAGCACTAAATGGCTTTCAATTAACTGGAAAATATTTTCTTAAATATCATCAGAAAGGACAAAAAGTCAGTCTGAAGGGAAGACTATAACATAATTCTGTAGATCCAACTGATTTGCCCCATACTTATTATAAGATATCATGGTAGTACAAGTTAAAGGAGTAGAGGTTGTAAAACTAGTATGATATGCTGGATTTTATTAAGCTCACTAATTGCAATTATTAGAAGAACACTGGAAACTGGTTTGCCTGGAGCCAGTATTTTTGATTTGTCCTTTCTGTAGCAGATTCTAATCTTGCAAACATCCAAAAATTCATTATACAAGTAAAATTTTTATAGCAAATATTTTATAACTAGGTAGCCATATTAAAATTCAAGCTGTTGAAATTGAACTTAGCACATGGGAATTTGAGCCCTATTTCCTCATTCTCACAGTTACAGGGAAAAAAGTGCACTCAATTCTCTTCAGATTGTCTAGAGGGATTGCTTTTTATGAAAAAGAGAAGGTCTAAGGAGCCGAGATAATTCATTTACCATTAGATATGGTCCATGACTTATTTTGGATAATGTTTGGTATATAATTTATTCTTCTATCTGCATTACAGCAAAGCTCAAAGCAGGCAACTCTTTTTTTTTTTTTTTTTTTGGTATGGGGCTCATTACGTCATATTGTATTTGCCTTAATCCCTATAATCTTTTTAAGGCCTTAATACAGAGTTCTTTCCACCCTTTTATCCATCTTTCAACCAAGGTAGAAACCTGCTTTTTTGCTCACTAAATGCTTTTTCCAGAAGAAGTGGAGTTTTCTCAACAGCCAGCCCAAAACTCTGCAACAAACTCTATGAGGAGCTAGGGATGACCACACAGTCTTAAATTTTGTTTGGTCTTCCATCTCTAATGTAACTATGGGTTATTCTTTACATTAAATAGCAGTGAAAGAACAACACTTAAGCCTTGTCATGGTGAACTCTTTTGTTCCCCTGTATGACATCTTAGTTTAAATGAATGTTCTTCTGTGAACTGTACTGTCAGATGGAAGCTTCTCCCATTCCCAAAGCCCCATTTTTTGGTTTGTTTCTTAACATGGACAAGGTTATTTTGTGAATACAGAATTCTACGTCTGATATCACAGAGATGTGGTGGGATGACTTCTATGACTGAAGTGTTGGAATGGAAGGATACATGCTTTGTAGGAAGGACAGGAAAGGAAGATGAAGAGGGATATCACACTTCATATCAATGACCAGTTGTACATGGAGCTCTGGGATGGATGAAGAACTGACCAGTGGCTTAGGGGTCAGGAATAAAGGGAGGGCAGGGACAGGTGACATTATAGGGTCTGCTACAGGCCACTCAATCAGGAAAACCAAGTGGATGAAGCCCTCTGCAGATAGAGAGGAGCAGCCTCATATTCTTACAAGCCCTTCCCTCATGGTGGGCCTCCACCACCCTGATATCTGTTGGATGGAGAACTTAGCAGGGCATAAACAATTTAGGAGGTTCCTGGAAAGCACTGATGGTAACCTCCTTCTCCAAGGGATAGAGGAGCCAGCAAGGGGAGGTGTTATGCTAGACCTTGTTCTCACCACACAAGAGAGGCTGGAAGGGAATGTGGAGCCCAAGGGCAGCCTTGTCTCCAGTGGCCATGAAATGGTGGAGTTCAATACCCTTTAGGGCAGTGGGGAGAGTGCATAGCAATCTCACTGCCCTGGACTTCAGGAAGGCAGACCTTGTCCCTCTTAAAGTGCTCCTTTTGGTAGAGTACTGTAGCATAAAGACTTGTTGGGAAGAGGAAATAAAGAAAACTGGTTGATATTCAAAGATCACCTTCAAACTCAGAAGAGATGCATCCTAACAAACAGGAAATCAGACAGAAATGTTTGGAGGCCTGTGTGGAAGAACAAGAAGCTTTTGGGTAAACTGAAATGCAGAAAAGAGTGTGGAAGCAAGGACACATGTCATAGGAGGAATACAGAGAAATTGTCTGGCCAATCAGGGGTCAAGTGTGCAGAACTAAAATCCTGATAGAATCAAATATAGTCAGGAGCTATAGGAATATCAGACTACAGAAACTGTGGGTCCTCTCCAGAAGGAAATGGGAGACCTTGTTACCTGGGATATGGAGAAGGTTGAGGTATCCAATGCCTCTTTTTCCTCAGTATTCACCAACAAGAGCTCCAGCCACAGTGCCCAAGTTGCAGAAAGCAAAGGCAGGAACCAGGAGAATGAAGGACCACATGCTGGAGGAGAAGATTAGGTTCAAGACTAAGGAACATGAAGATGCACAAGTCTATGTGACTTGATGAGATGCATCCATAGGACCTGAGGGAGTTCTCAGAGAAGTTTCTAAGCCACTATCCATAATACTTGAGAAGTCATGGCATTCTGGTGAAGTTCCCACTGACTGGAAAGGGGGAAACATAACCCCTGGTTTTAAAAAGGAAAAAAAATGGAGACCTGAGGAACTACAGGCCAGTCTGTCTCACCTCTGTGCCTAGCACAGTCATGGAGCAGATTCTCCTGGAAACTGTGCTAAGGCACATGCAAAATAAGGATGTGGTTGGTGACAGACAACACAGTTTCACTAAGAGTAAATCATGCCTGAAAAATTTGGTGGCCTTCTATGATGGGGTTACAATGTTGGAGGATAAGGAATAAGCAATGGATTTAATCACTGGGACTTGTGAAAAGCATCTTACCCTGTCCCACATGACATCCTTTGTCTCTGACATGGAGAGACATGGCTTTGATGGATGCACCACTTGGTGGATAAGGAACTGGCTGATTGGTTAAACTCAAAAAGTTGCTGTCGAGGGCTCAATATCTGTGTGCAGAGCATTTGTGTGACAAGTGACATTTTGCAGGGGTCAGTATTGGACTGCTGCTGTTTAACAGCTTGGAGGACATGGGCAGGGGAATTGAACCTGGCAGGCACCCTTGACAAGTTTGGCAATGACACCAAGCTGTGTGGATTGTTGACATACTGGAGGGAAGGGATGCCATCCAGAGGGACATGGACAGGTTTGAGAAGTGGGCCCATTCAAACCTCATGAAGTTTAACCAGACCAAGTACAAGGTCCTGCACAATAGTTGGGCCATCCTCCTGGGCAGAGGATGGATTGAGAGCAGCCCTGAGGAAAAGAACTTGGGGGTGTTGGTGAATCAATGCTTAGGATATGCTGACAACATGTGTTTGCAGCCCAGAAAGCCAGACATGTCCTGAGCTGCATTAAAAGTGGTGTGGGCAGCAGGGCAATGGTGGGGGGGTTCTGCTTCTCAGCTCTGCTCTTGTGAAATCCCACCTGGAATGCTGTGTCCAGCCCTGGGGTCCCCATCACAAGAAGGAAATGAACCTGTTGGAACAAGTACAGAGAAGAGAAGCAAAGATGGTCAGAAGGCTGGAACGCCTCTTCTGTGAAGTCAGGGTGAGAGAACTGAGGGCTATTCAGCCTGGAAAAGAGAAGGCTTCAAGGAGACCCCATAGCACCTTTCAGCATGTAAAGAGGGGCTGTGGAAGGGCTGGAGAAGGACTTTTTACAAGGACATATCATGGTAGAGCAAAGGGTAATGTATTTAAACTGTCAGGGGGTAGGTTTAGATTAAATATAAGGAAGAAATTCATTACTGTATGTTGAAACCATGGACTGGGTTGCCCAGGGAAGTTGTGGGTGCTTGGAAGTGTTCAAGACCAGGCTGAATGGAACCTTGAGGCACCCTGGTCTAGCAGCAAGTGTCCCTGTCCATGGCAGAGGTATTGGAAGTAGATGATCCTTCCAACCCAAACCTTTCTATAATTCTATTCTAATATCTCTCTCTATTCCTGCTATTGTTATGAAAATGTGCTTCTGAAGACTGAAATATGTAAAGCTTCCTTCCTAGCCTGTATACTTCTTTCAAATGTATATAGTAGATGTGGTGTCTCCTGGCAAGGAGAGAAATAAATGCAACAGATGCACAGTAAGAGCAAAAAAGCTATGAGAGTAGATCCAAGAATTGAAGATGGCATTAAAAGGTTATTTACCTTGTGGCAAATAATTGTATTTTGTCTGAATTTTATTACTGTAAAAGATGAGAAATATTTTGGCATTTATTATGATAAGTGAGTTGTAAACAAATGATGTTTCTCTGGGTATTATGGAGCAATTCTAGGTGCCTCCGCAGCTCATGACAAAGACAGGAATCCTTATTAACAACATAAGGAAAATCCAGAAACCAGAAAAAATATGTAACTTAGAGTTTAATTAAAGTAATTCATTCCAAATCCCAGTTTTTTAATGGGAAGGTGGTTAAACACTGAAAGAGTTTGTGACAAGATTGTATGGTCTCTGTCCTGGCACACAATCAAAACTGCCTGTGGCCCTGAGCAATCTGCTGTAGCTGGGCTGGCTCTGAGTGGGGAGGATCCCAAAAGGCCCCACCAGCCCCAGTGACCTTCTTTCAGGGTCCTTCTTGTGGAAATACCTCTACAGCAATAATCCTCTGAGCCCCAAATTTCTGGAAGCAATGAAGGTTTGTTGTACTGTTTGTCTTGCTGATTAGCACTGCCTGTATTGATGTCTGTCTCAGGCCTGGTCTTGGCCACTATCCCAGAGGATGCTGAGCTGGGCTGACCATTGGTCTGATCCAGCATGGACGTCCTTGCATGTCTTAAGAGGATATTTGGCTAGACTGCAGATAAGGAGTAAGTCTAACTATGGAGGACAGATTATTGAGGAGATGAGGCAATGCAGCTACACCTGTGATCCAGGTAGGGCAACCCAGGAAGAATCCCAACACTGAGATTTTGCATGAAGTTTTGTTTTCTTATCAGTTCTACAATGTAAGGCTGGGGGCCCTTCTCTTTGAGGAGACATTGAAGATTTTGGGTGCTTTGGTAAGGACTCTGTGTATCTGTGCAGTGGCAATGAGGAACATCCAGCTAATGTTGTGCTGTGCTGGGGAGAGTGAGTACTGCCAGACCCTAGCCTAGCACTGGCACTAGCACTGAAGGAACAAGAAAATAAGTTCATTCCAGTTAAACCTGAGTGTGACATTACCACTCTGAGATAAGGGTTACTATTTCTAGCAGCAAACAACAGTGGTTTGGCTGACAGTAAAAAGACAGCATTACCTATGAAAGGGGAATGTGGCTTTTGCAAATGGACCAAGACTGGCTTAAGGACAGGCATGCTAGAAAAAAATACTGTTTTATCCAATAATTTTTATGAAGACCATTAGCAGCAGAAAGAATAACAAGCTGCCCATATTCTGACTGTGTCTGTCTGTAGGAGATCCAGATGCAAGCATGCCTTGTGACAGGTAGCTTTCTGCCTCTGCTGTCACAAGGGTCTCTATGCTATCAGAAACAGCTCTGTGTTACTTTCACTTTCCAGGCTCGTGTGTTTCCTCGTGTCAGAACTGCCCTTTGGACCTGCCCCTTTATAGTATGAGTTATGCCAGTAGAGATCCAGGACACTTGTACTGAGAGATGAGCTGCTCCACACATCATCTTTAATACAATGATTGACTTGCATTGTCTGAATTCTTTCCAGTTCATAAAGCTGACATTTAATTAACATCAGAGTTAACTATCAAGTTAACCAGTCCGGTTTTCCTGTTTTAACAATTGTGAACAGCATGAAACCCCAGGAAGATTCCTTTCAAGGTAGATTCATTAGGGCAAAAAAAAAAGATCATTAGTGACTGGTAATGGTTGTTTCTCAGTAAGATAAACACTAATTCAGACATGCTTTGAACTGTCAGTGTGGGCTTGCTTCAATGACAAAGGGAGCAGGTAGCTGTAGTATCCTGATTATTCTTTTTACTTTGGCTTTAAAAAAACCCTTTGAAAACCATGAAGTGTTGGAAATATACTGTCCTATCCACTAATGAGCAGTGGAAGTAATGAGATATCTCAAAACTCCCTCAGTGTCCACATACTTAGCATACACTTGTGTGAACTTCATCTAAATCTTTTCAAAGTGATGCATGGCTTTGTTGTCAGGAGAGAAATACTGGAAGTAGTTTCCATCTATTTCAGTCATTCAGTGACTCATGCTGAGTGGCAAGATCAGATTAGATCAAGTCTGAGTGTCTATTATAATTTGTGATATGCATATGAAATGGTCTCTTCTGTGTTGTATTCCTCCCTAGTCGATGGGCAACATTCATAAAACCAGGATGAGGAAAGTTTTCTGGTAACCATTTGTGAGAAAAAATTTTATCTAAAGGAATAAGTTCTATGTGAAAATATCCTCACATGTAGGATGGTGCAGTAGTGGTAATGGTGGAGTCCCAGCTTGCCCATAAAATTATCTATTTCCCTGAATCCCCTTCAAGGGGATTTCACAGAGAGTGTGGGTTCTGCCTCTCTTCTTTCCCCTTCTGGTCAATAAGGGCTCTGCTCACACGTACAGCTCTGGCTGGAGCTGCAAGGGAATCCTTATTAATTTAAAGGTTGTATTTAATAGAGGCTTCCTTAAAGCAAACTCGCCTTTGGTAAAGCACAACAGTTTTCTGTGGCTTTTAACTCCTGTTTGTATTGGCACCCTGAAATAAAAAAAAAAAAAAAAAAAAAAAAAAGAAAGAGAGGGAGAAAGAGAAAGAAAATATTTGCCATTCTCTGTATCTTATTTACCAGAAGCACTGTCTTGTGCACCATGACGCAGAGAAAAAAAAAATTCTGAGCTCTTCATTTTTCTCTACTTCTCACCTTGTGACATTTTCTCACAGGAAATATTCACAGCACCTGCAAATGTTGAGAGTTTGGTCTCAATCCTTGTGACTAGCAATGGATGAGATAAATGCAATTTCTATCTCAGAAAAAGCTGATCATGTGCTTCCTTTAATAATGAAAGCTGTTTAAGTCTGGAGATCTTGTCTAGATAATTTGATTATTTAGTTTTAAATTGACTCCAGAGCTGAACATATTCATGTGAAGAGCCTCACTAAACAGCCTGTATATAAGAGTGCAGATATCAGCATGTGATTATGAAATGCCAAACATACATCATAGATGCTGATAATCAGGTTTCAAGTGATTGTTTTCTTCCCCTCAAATACCTCTGTAGATTCTGTCTAGTCCATCTTGTGAAAGTTTCTGAAAGCAAATTTATAGGAAGAGTCTTGTCTCCACAGAATTAGTTTCTGTCAGTTCTGTGAGTTTCCATGTGTTTTGCTGAAATTTAGTGCATATTTGTAAAAGTGGCTGTTACATGCATAACATTAATGGAGGGTTTGACAGATTGTTTTCTTCTGTTC